AGACTCCGGGAGACAGGGTTCCAGAGAGGAGGCGGGCAGGTGGAACCTGAACTCTGACTTGAGGGAGGTCCCCTTCCCTTGAAGGCTTTCATCAATGCAATACTGCATTGCACAGGGGAACAAAACTGTGGGTGAGAAGCCTCTAATATCTGCCAGGCTCTTAAGGTCAAAGAAGAAAACCTTGGGTTTCAAGACCTAATCAAGAAGAGGAACCCTTCAATAAACACACTTCTTTATGGTTGTTGTTGTTGTTGTCGTTGTTTTGTTTTTTTCAAGACAGGCTTTCTCTATGCAACAGCCCTAGCTGTCCTGGAACTCTCTCTGTAGACCAGGCTGGCCTTGAACTCACAGAGATCCACCTGCCTCTGCCTCTTGAGTGCTGGAACTAAAGGCATGGACCATCACTCCTGACCTGTAAATGCTCTCCTTTAGGGACTGAGACAGCTCAGATTCACATAATGAAGTAACATTAAGGTGTCCCAGAAGACCTTAAGAGTCACATAGCTGGAGACTGGAGAGGTTGCTCAGCAGTTAGGAGCTCCTGCGGTTTTCCAGAGGACTGAAGTTCATTTCCCAGCACCCACATCAGGCAGCTCACAACCTCATGTAGTTCTAGTTCCAGAGAATCAGATGCCCTTTTCCAGGCATCAGCACATTTGTATACACACACACACACACACACACACACACACACACACTCAAGGGGCTGGAGAGATAGCTGCAGTTAAGAGCATTTACTGCTCTTGCAGAAGACCCAGGTTTCGTTCCCAATTATCTGTAACTCCAGTTCCAGGAAATTCAACAGCTTGTGCTCATACATACACTCAGGCATTCCACATACACATAAAATAAATAAATATTAAAAATAAAATTTAGAAAAGAAACCGAACTTTGAAACTACAAATCTGCTTGACATTAAGATCACTTTTGTCGGGCCAGGTGTGGTGGTGTACACTTTTAATCCCAGCACTCAGGAGGCAAAGGCAGGCGGATCTCTATGAGTTGAAGGCCAGCCTGGTCTATAGAGTGAGCTCTAGGACAGCCAGGTCTACACAGAGAAACCTTGTCTTGAAAATCAAACAATCCAAAGGATCACCTCTGACCGGCTTGATAAAGAGGCAAATAGATTTACTACTTAAATGGGTCACTAGACCATCACAGCAAATCCAAAATAGATCAGCATGTATGCCATCAGCTGGTTTCCCATTTAAGAACTCAGTGCAATGTGTTGAAGAACATACAGTGATAGACTTGTTGGATGTCCATGCGGAAAAACAAATTCACAATGAGCCACAAGCTTAAAACAGAAAAAGGAAAGGGGGGTGGATAAAAGGCTGGAGAGATGGTTCAGTGGTTAAAGCACTCGCTGCTCTTGCCAAGGACCAGAGTTCTGTTCCCAGCATCTACTTTGGGCAGCCCACAGCCTCCTGTAACTCCAGCTTCAGGGGATCTAACGCTCTCTTCTGGTCTCTGTGGGCACATAGAATCTTTTAAAACTTTTTGTTTGGAAGAGGGTCTCTATTGTGCCCAAAGTGGCCTGGAATTCTTGAGCCTCCTGTCTCAGTCTTCCATGTGTTGGGATTATATGTATCCATCACCATGCCTGACCTTTCTTCCCTTTTGTTTATTTGTTTTTCTGAGACAGGGTTTCCCTGTGTAGCCCTGACTGTTCTGGATCTCATGCTATAGACAAGGCTGGCCTTGAACTCAGAGATCCATCTGCATCTGCCTCCTGCGTGCTGGGATTAAAGTGTGCACCACCACCGCTTGGCTCCTAACTTTATAGATACTTAGGTTTAATTTAGTCATTGTTGAGAAGATTACCATTTTCCTTATGGAATGACCTTGGTAACTTTATTGAAAAGGTACAGTTGCCCACGTGAGTTTTTGCACCTGCTGCTAACGCCAAGTTCTTAGAGTCATGTTGTCTTTCTCTCCCTTGCTACCTATTTAGTCTATCACCAAATCTAGCTGACTTTAACTTCAAAATATTTTGTTCCTATTGGCACATCACTCCAAAACCATTGGCTGCACCGTCGTTTTGCTTGTGTATCTTGCAGTCGACAGGTCAGAGTAGGAGAGCGTTTGATTAGGGTCTGTCCTAGGCAGGGTTTCTATTACTTCAATCAAACACCATGGACAAAAGCAAAGTGGGGGAAAAGGTTTATTTGACTCCCATTTCCAGATTGCAGTCCATGATTGAAGGAAGTCAGGACAGGAACTCAAACAGATCAAGAGGCAGGAGCTGATACAGAGGCCATGGAGGTGTGCTGCTTACTGGCTTGTTCAACCTAACCCAGGACCACCAACCCAGGGATGGTATCACCTATAATGGCCTGGGCCCTCCCCCATCAGTCACTAATTAAGAAAATGCCCTACAGGCTTGCCTATGGTCAATAAATTGGAGGTATTTTCTAAGTTGAGGTTTCCTCCTCTCAGAAGACTCAAGCTTCCGTCAAGCTAATGTAAAACTAGCCAGGACAGGGTCTGACGTGGTTGCAGTTGGGTGGTGTCCCGGGCTGCAATCATCCTCAGATTCTTCTGTATTCATATGTCTGCTGCAGAATCTGAGCTCAGGCATCCTTCTTCCTGTCTCTCTGTAAGGGTCTCAGGGTCTCTTGATTTGCTCTCTCTTTATGGAACCGCAGAGTAGCCAGATTCTTACATGGAAGTGGAAGATTGTGAGGGCAACAGCTTGGTAAAGCTGCAAGTCCATTATCAGCATCTGCAGTCGCCGGCTTCCTGCTGCCCTCAGCAAGGTCACAGCTGCTTGCATCAGGAGTGGGTGAAGAACCTGGGTGCTTTCTTGCTCCGAGCCCCTCGCTGATGTTGTTGAAGTGGTTATTATGGGATTCCCAACCAAAGTGAACATGCAAATGTGTCTTTATTCAATAGCTGCGGTGGATTGATTGGCAATGCCTTCTAAAAGATACAGCCATGCCCCAAACCCTGGAACTTGTATCACTTTTGACGACAAAGGTGTGAGTGTCCCTTAATGTGATAAAACATCTGGCTCGGTGGGATGGGGGATGGGCAAGCAATCGAGAGCATATGCAGCTCTTACAGAAGACCCAGGGCCCTGCCGATTTTGGACAAGCAGTGACTAGACCTGGGAGAGAATGTATTTTTCCCCACATACCCCATCTCATTTACACTTATTTGTTAATGTGCCTCAAGAAGCTAGAGCAATGACCATCTTCTGCTCTCACTGTGTGCCGAATATCAGGGCCACAGAAAACGTTTCTCAGCCCGTCTCTCTAGTCACTTGATGGTGACGTTGCTGGATGGCCTGTCAGTGGAACTACTGATCTCAATACAACCAGTAAAGTTATTTCTTTAGGGACTGGAGAGATGGCTCAGTGGTCAAGAACACTAACTGCTCTTCCAAGACTCTAGGTTCAATTCCCAGCACCCACATGGCAGTTCACAACTATCTGTAACTCCAGTTCCAGGAGATCCAATGCCCTCTTCTGGGTTCTGCAGGCAGGAGGCTTTCATGTTTGAATTCTAGGCCAGTCTGGGTCATAGGATGGCACCCTATCTCAATCAATCACACACCAAAAAAACCTTAAGCAAGTATACACTGTAAAACTAATCAAATCTCACAGGTGGATGGAAAATGTCTGTTGCTAAGGGGTTTGGGGTAGCAATGCCTCACCTTGTTATAAGGAGTAATAACAGCTTCTTGTTGAACAGGTACTCAGAAAAGGAGGTCAGAACCATCCTCTGGCTCAGCAAACATGCAAACAGAAAATTCAAAGCCAGGCATGGTGGTGCACACCTTTCAATCCAGCACTTGGGAGGCAGAGACAGATCTCTGAGTCTGAGGCCAGCCTGGTCTATATATCAAGTTCCAGGCTAGTCAGCCAGGGTTAGATAATGAGACCCTTTCTCAAAATAAAATAAAATAAAATAAAGGAGAGAGAAAAGAAGGAAAGGAAGGAAGAAGAAAGGAAGAAGGAAGGAAGGAAATTGACAAAAGTATAGCACAGGAGGCATTTAACTCCTCCTAGGGCCTGTACTGTGACCTGTAGCCCTGTCTTCTGCTGCTTTGGCTTCTCAGGGCACTTCACGTTCTAACCTCCAACTCTGTGGTAGCAAAGCCAGTGGTGGCATCTGCAGTCCTCAAAATTATTTTCAATCTGAATCAGTGGACAGCATAGTCTAAAAAGCATATCTATGTGTATATATGCCATGCCTATGACCTATGTAGTATGCGTGCATGTGTCTTCGTGTATATGCATATGACCATAGTGTATATGTGTGCATGCATGTGCCTATGTGTGTGCTGGATTATTTGAGTTTTTGTCTTAAAGGGCAAAGGAGCCCAGCTTTCTAGGGTCCAGGACACAGGCTCTACCCTGCAGATGCACAGAATGTGATTTTGGAACAAAAACATATTCTGATTTCTGATTAGTAATATATGCTTGAATAAAATCAGCACGAGGCTTTTGGTTTTCTTTTTTGAGACAAAGTCTCATTCTTTAGCCTAGGCTGAATTGGAATTCATGTGCAGTGATGGAATTTATATGCATGAGTGCGCGTGTGCATGTGCGTGTGTGTGCACGCACGTTCGCACGTGTGTGTGCAGAGGTCAGCAGCAGGCTTCAGGTGTCTTCCTCGGGTGCTCCTTTCTACTAGAAAGCTAAGTGCACACATGAAAAATCTCAGAGGCTGCACTGGCACTGAGAGGGAGACTAGCCATCAGCGTGAAAAACAGATTCCCTGCCTCGTAATGGGCGTCACATAATCAACTGAACCTGTTGAAAATGAGCGTGTTGCTTGATATTTTGTAGAAAGTTCTGGCAAGTACATCAGGCTGAGAGCCTACAGGCCCGCAGCTGACTTCAATCAAAGCCTCACGAGCTGCAGGTGGCAATCCCACGAAATGCTGCCATCTTTGGCCAAGCCTTTAAAACCAGAGCAAGTCAGGGAGAAGAGCGAGTGTGGGCTTAGGCCGGGAAAGATGGAGATTTTTTTTTTTTTTTTTTTTTTTTTTGCCTAGTGTGCCATTATGAGAAATCTTCTCCTATCTGCATGCTTTCAGCTTGCTCCAGGCTGCCCAGGTGAACAAGGTAAAGACTCTCCGCTTTCTTCCTGCTGTCTAATTGACCAGCTCTGGGCCTGAACGCCTCGAGTTTGTGTATTCTTACGAAAGGCCCCGTTGGCCTTCCCCTCCCCCAAGCCACGGAGTTAGCTACCCCAGCGTCACGCTCACAGCCTTTCTTCCTCCTTAAACTGACTTTATTCAGCCCTGTCCCCGACGCACTAGCTCGCAGCTCGGGGACTCCTTTGCTTCTCTTGACCACTGGGAGTATCGAGCTACAGGACAGCAAAGGGATACGCTGAGGGTTTGTGGGCTAGCGTGGGCTAGCATCATCCGCTCTGAAGACCTCAAATCCTGGTAAATAAGCCAGGCGTGCTGGCGCGCACCCGTAACGGAAGCACGTGGGAGGCAGAAGCAAGAGGACCAGAAGGTTGGGTCATAGCCAGCGAAGTGGTGAATTTAAAGCCGTCATAGGCTATGAGAGACCCTGTTGCAAAACAGTAATGATAACAACAAAATTCTGCTAAATTAAAGGAACAAGCTGATGGGTGGAGTTGTGCCGCTGATATGTGAGACCCTTGAGGCTCCCAGGTCAAAGGTTTAGGGACTGGCCCTCCTTCCTCCAAGCCTGGAGAGCTGGGACTGCGTTTGATGAACCTGTGTAGGCCGGCCCAGCACAGAACAAATAGAGCAGGGGGGAGGCTTGCTGACTGGCTTAAGGACTCCTTTCTCTCCTGCAGAGCTGGCATGAGATTTCAGGCAGTGATCTCCTGTGGAGGTAAAGAAAGGGGCAGGACAGGGCTTCTGAGTCCACCCCGCACCTCTGGTGTGTGAGATACACTCAAGAAGACAGGCTCCGAGGAGGTGACCTGACTGGGATGTTGTGACTGTGCCTTGCAGGAAGCTGTGTCTGAAAAGATGGCCCTGTTGCGACATCCGTCTAGAACTCCTGAACGCACAGACTTGGAAGCAGTTCTTCCTTCACCAAACTAGGCAAGAACACTCTATGACCCGGAGCCAAGCCAGAAGACTTCATCTACAAAGAAATACCTGGGGACTTTGGTATGGACACCCAGTCGGTATTTCCCCCAATCTATGCAGTCTTATATTCTCACTGGCTAAGAGAAGGGGAATTAGAATTTAATGGCTGAGGTTGCCGCCTAGCCGTGGAACCAGTCCTGATTCTTGTCTTGTCTCCTGTGATCTGGGGGAAAGACCCAGAGTGATGGGGTAACAGCGTAAAGCCAGCCCAGCCCTATCTCCCCATTTCTCCAGAGCCTTCCTACCCTCCCCACAATATACAGAAAATTGAATTGGGAAAATTACTAAATAGCATAAGCTGTTATTTCCCTTTCCCTAAAAACCTCCTTGACAGTTTTCTGATGGGGAGCTACTTTAATTTTTACATTGTTCTTAGCATGTGCATATGTGATTATGTAATACACATGTGTATGTCAGAAGACAACTTTGTGGGATCCATTCTCCTGATAGAAAGTCTTGTTGTTCGAGACAAGGCCTCATCATGTAAACTGGCCTGGAACTCGATATGTGGACCAGGCTGGCTTCAGACTTGAGATCTGCCTCTTTCCTGGGACTGGAAGTGTATATACGTATCGCCACGCCTGGTTTTTTTTTTTTTTTTTTTTTTTTTTTAAGAAGGGTCTCATGTACCAAAGGCTGATGTAAAATTCCCCATATAGGAAACAGCAATGACTTTGAATTTTGGATCTTTCTGCTTCCAAATGAGGGCTGGGATTAGGGTTTATGGGATTCTAGGAGTCCCCAGGAACCACTTGGTATCTCTAGAAACAGATTAAAGAGTAAAAAATCTGAATCAGAGGCCAACCTGCAGCTTGTTTGGCTGCCTCTCTTCGTCCTTCCACAGCTGTTACCCCAGCCTTCCTGCAAAGAGAGAGGGAAATGGAAACCAACCTTTTTGAGTCACTCCTCAAGTATCTAGTGTCCAAATATTGTTGGGGTTTCCTTGCAGGACTGGGTAATGTGAACTATCTCTCGGGGAGTGGCTTGACCAGAGAAGAACAAGGAAGATCGGTTGTCTGCATGGTAATAGACTTGACTCCGCCTTTCTGCCTGGGATCTTCAAGAGGTGAGTCTGGCCCAGGAGCAGCTAAAGGGACCTAGACCTGAATCCTGAATTCATCTCTTGTTGCAGAGACGGGGTCTCCTTGTGCAGCCCGGGCTGTCCTGGAACTCCCGATGCAGATTAACCTGCTTCTGCCTCCCCAGCGCTTGGGTTTAAGGTGTGCACCACCACTCCTTTTTTTTTTTTTAAGATTTATTCATTTTATGTGTACAAGTGGTGTTTTTCCTGAATATATGAATGTGTGTCACCTGTGTGCCTGGTGCCTGTGGAAGCCACAGGAGGGAGTCAGATTCCTTAGAACTGTAATTACAGATGGTTGTAAACTTTGGGTGCTGGGCCCTGAACCCAGGTTCCCTGCTGATTCATTCTCCGGGGCCTCTCCATGTCTTAAAGTTTTCATTTTAGAAGCTTTCACTTACTCAGGTTTACACTCAGATATATATATATATATATATATATATTATTTCTTTTTTACTTTATATGTGTGTGCCTGTGAGTTTACAACTGGGGGCTGGCAGAGGCCAGAGAGGGCTGTGGGATGTTGGGTAGGCTCTGCGAACCCACCTGGGGTCCTCTGCAAGCGCAGTGACTGCTCTTCTGAACCACTGCTCTAGCCCCGTTCTCCAGGTTTGGTTGTTGTCTTGAGGCTGTGCTTCCTTACTTGCTCCTTCGCTTTGTTTATTGCTAAGAGGAAGGCCACTGGTTTGTTTTGTTTGATGTTAACTTTGTAGCCTGTCAACTTGCTGGGAGCTTTTCAGTCCTAAGAGTTTTCTGGTGGAGTCTTCAGGGTCTCTTAAGTACAGAATCACAGCTGGGTGGTGGTAGTGCACGCCTTTAATCCCAGCACTCAAGAGGCAGAGGCAGGAAGGTCTCTGAGTTCGAGGCCAGTCTAGTCTATGAGAGCTAGCAGAATCACCAAATAAGGCTACTTTAGCTTCTCCCTTTCCTATTGGCATTCCTTTTGTTTGCTTCTCTTGGCTTATTACTCTGGCTAAAATAATACCATAGTGTGTTAAGAGTGGAATAAGCATGGCTTTCCTTGTCTTGTTTCTGATGTTGCTGGAAATGCTTTTGAGGGCATCCAAGAGGGAACAGTAAAGGAACTGCGGATGTGACTGCTCGTATGACTATGGTTTTATTATAGATATGAGAACAGCCAGAGGCATCTTAGAGTCCAGAGCAGAGAGAGGAGGGAATCTGAACACGGCCAGCAGGCTGGTCATGGCCAGAGCTCAGGAAGCAGGGGAGCAAGAGGGAGTAGTGGAGACAGCACGGGAACAGAGCACAATGAGAGTAAGAAATGGAATAGTGAGTTAGAAGCAGGTGAGTAGTGCAAAGGGCCGCGAGACTGGATGGGTGAAGGCGGAGAGATCGGACGCTTATGAAAAAAGGAATCCCACACTGGCTCAGAACTAAGAAATAGACCGATGTTTATTAAGGGGTAAAACTTACAAAGTCAGGATTCTCTGTTTGAACCATGGATAAAGATCAGATCCAAAGCAAACTGAACAGTAAATGGGCCCAGGGGAAAGCAGAGAGGAAGGGGCCTTCCACATCCGGGTAAATAGTCTGAGGCCATGTCCCAGTAGGCGGGTAGTTGCGAGCTATACACCTTCCCTCAGTACCTCCCCCTTTTGTTTAAATAAGAGAGTTCTAAAGCTACTATAAAATTTTATACAATAAAAACAAATATCCTATTCTAACTAGCTTAAGTCTTATAAATAACTTGGCCAAGTCCTGAGAGGAAAGTAACTACATTCATCTAGTCTTCAACCCCATCGAAGATCCAAGAAGGGAAATAATATTACCTGAGTAATTAGGAAGTTCAATTAAACAATTTCCAAAACATGCAATAAATCATAGAGACAACTGGCTGCCTGGGCAATCACCCAAAGTCACATTTGCAACTTTGAAGCAACCAACTTTGGCTAAGGCCTAGAATAACTGACAGATGTTTTTTTTTTTTGTTTTTTTTTTGTTTTTTTTTTTTTTTTTTTTCCGAGACAGGGTTTCTCTGTAGCTTTTGGTTCCTGTCCTGGAACTAGCTCTTGTAGACCAGGCTGGCCTCGAACTCACAGAGATCCGCCTGTCTCTGCCTCCCGAGTGCTGGGATTAAAGGCGTGTGCCACCACTGCCTGGCAACAGATTGTTTTTAAAGGCAAGAAAATTTTCAAAACCGTCTTACCCTGTCTTGGCAAGATTTGACAGTTCTGCTTATCCATTTCCGGATACTCCATGGCTTGCTCAGTTCTAATACCACCTAGTACCACCTGCCCAGGAGTGGCACTGCCCACAATTAGGAAAATGCCCTCCAGACTTGCTTAGAAGCAATCTGATGGAGATGGTTTTCCAGTCAAGCTTCCTCTTCTCAGATAGCTTGTGTCAAGTTTACACACACAAAATCACCACCAATACAACAAAAACTAACGAGGACAGTTTGTCAAAAAACAACCCTTATTGTGTTGAAATATGTTCCTTCTATTCTGAGTTTCTTCAGGATTTAATATCATGAGATGTTGGAATATGCCCTTTTCTGCATCTATTGACATTCGATTTCTATCCTCGAGTCTACTATTATAATTTATAACAGTTATTGATTTTATATATATTAAACCGTGTGTGCATCTTTATAATAAAGCCAACTTAATTGTGGGAGTGATCTTTTTGGTATTATTTTTTTCTATTTCCCCGAGACAGGGTTTCTCTGCATAGCCCTGGCTGTCCTGGAACTCACTCTATGGCTGTCCTGGAAGTCTATTGACTAGGCTGGCCTTGAACTCAAGAAATCCACCCAAGTGCTCAGATTAAAGGTGTAAGCCACCACCGTTCAGCTCGGTATATTCTTTTTCTAAGACTTATTTTTATTATTTTTAAATTATTTCTATGGGGGCAGATATGTGCACATGAGTGCAGGTACCTGTAGAGGCCAGAAGAGGGAGGCAGATACCATGGAGCTGAAGTTACAAGACAGTTGTGATTACCCTAGGTAGGCACTGGAAACTGAACTTGAGTCTTCTGGAAGAATAGTATTCTCATAACCACTGAGCTGTTTTTCCAGCCTCCTGGTGTACTCTTGAATTTGGTTTGCAAGTATTTTGTTGAGAATTTATGTATTTATGTTCAACAGGGAGATTGACTGTTACTCGCCCCCCCCATACCGCTTTTTTTTTTTTAAGGTTTATTATGTATCAAGTGTTCTGCCTGCATGTATCCCCGCAGGCCAGAAGAGGGCACCAGATATCATTACAAATGGTTGTGAGCCATCATGTGGTCGCTGGGACTTGAACTCGGGACCTCTGGAAGAGCAGCCAGTGCTCTTAACCTCTGAGCCATCTCTCCAGCCCCCAATTCTCCCTCCCCCCTTTTTTTTTGGTTATGTCTTTTATCTAGTTTTGGTATTGGGTAATAATAGCTTCATAGAAAGAATTTGGAAGTGGGGCAGTGGTGACGCACACCTTTAATCCTAGCAGGTGGGAAGCAAAGGCAGGTGAAACTCTGAGGTTGAGGCCAACTTGGTCTACAAAGGGAGTTCCAGGACAGCCGGGACTGTTAACAGAGAAACCCTGTGGTGAAAAGACACACACATCTATGGCCATACCACCCTGAACTCGCCCCATCTCATCTGATCTTGGAAGCTAAGTGGGGTCAGGCCTGGTTAATACTTGGATAGGAGGCCACCTGGGAATATCAGGTGCTGTAGGCTAAAAAAAGAACACACACATAAAAGTTTGGTAATGTCCCTTCCTAATGTCCCTATGGTGTACAGTAGTTTAAGAAGAATTGGTGTTAGTTTTACTATGAAGGTTTGGTAAAATTCACCGGGGTAATTAATCTGGCCCTAGGTATTTATTTGTTCATCTTTTTTGTTTTGTTTTTTTACCTTTTTGCATATGTATGTATGTGGTAATGCATGTGTACATTCCTGTTCATATCTCAATTTAATTTTGGCAGGTCATGTACACCTAGAAATGTATCCATTTTTATTAATTTATTGGAAAGCATTTATTTTTAAGGTATAACCTAATGAGTTTCAGAATTTTGCTGATATCTGTCATCATGGCTATCTTCTGTCATTTTATTGATTTGGGTAATTTACTTAGTTTTTTATTTTTATTTCATTAATTTCTCCATCTCTTTATTACACACGTATTTGTGTATGTATGTGTACATGCATGTGCCTACAATACCATGGCGTGTGTGAAGGTCAGGACAACCTGTGGGAGTCATTTTCCTCCTCTTATCTTGTGGGTGTCAGTTCACTGAACTTAGATTAACTAGTCTTGGTGGCAAGTGCCTTTACCTGCTGAGTCACCTACCTCACTGGCCCCGTTGCCCGGATCTTAGTGATTTATTTACGTCTGACTTTGGGGTTGCTGTGTTTTATTTCTCAGGCATTCACTTATTTGAGGTTTCTCTGAAAAGAGATTGTTTTGAGAGAAGCTCTCACTATGTAGCCTTGGTTAGCCTGGAACTCCGAGATCCACCTGCCTCTGCCTCCTGATTTCTCTTCTCTCTGGTGTTCTCTCATTAATGGAGGAGCTTGGATCTGTGAGCTTTCCTCTCAGGACTGCTCTTCACTATATCTGATGGCTTTTCTATGTTGTGGTTTTGTCTTCAATTCAATTCTAGGAATCTTTGTTCCCTTTTGATTTCTTCAATGACTCCACTCAGTATTCGTCAGTTTATTTGATCTTCGCAAATTTGCATATGTTCTAGAGATCCTGTGACTGTTGGCTATAGCTTTACCCCAGTGTTACCAGAGAGAACACAAGCAAATCTCTTAGAATATACACCATATATTCTGCAATATTTGGGTAGAATGTTCTATAGATGTCTAAGTTTTTTTCACTTATGAAATAATTTAATTCAGTATTTGTTGAAATAGGAGCGGCGGGGCTGCATCCCTGGCACCCGGCCGCCCATAGGCTAGCTCTAGCTTATGCTCCGAAATAATTACACGGAAACTGTATTCTTTTAAACACTGCTTGGCCCATTTCTATCTAGCCTCTTCTAGGCTAACTCTCGCACCTGGACTAGCCCATGTCTAATAATCTGCTGTAGCCCACAAGCTGGCTTACCAGGAATGATCTTAACCTGCGTCTGCCTGGAGTGGGAGAATCATGGTGACTCCTTGACTCAGCTTCTTTCTCCCAGCATTCTGTTCTGTTTACTCCGCCTACCTATGTTTTAACCTATGAGGGCCAACCAAGCAGTTTCTTTATTACTTAACCAATGAAATCAACAGATTGATATATGGTTCTAGAGATCCTGTGACTGTTGGCTATAGCTTTACCCCAGTGTTACCAGAGAGAACACAAGCAATTCTCTTAGAATATACACCATATATTCTGCAATATTTGGGTAGACTATTCTATAGATGTCTAAGATTTTTTAACCTATGAAGTAATTTAATTCAGTATTTCTGTTTATTTTTCTGTCAGTTGGTGAGTTTCGGCCAGTTGGTGAGAGTGGGGTATTAAAGTCACCCACTACTGTCGTGCTGGGATACATCTAACTTTCCAGGGGTATTCTGATGTGGGAGTGTCATATATCAATCTGTTGATTTCATTGGTTAAGCAATAAAGAAACTGCTTGGCCCTCATAGGTTAAAACATAGGTGGATGGAGTAAACAGAACAGAAGGCTGGGAGAAAGAAGCTGAGTCAGGGAGTTGCCATGATTCTCCCACTCCAGGCAGACACAGGTTATCATTCCTGGTAAGCCAGCTCTTGGGCTACATAGATTATTAGAAATGGGCTAGTCCAGGTGCGAGAGTTAGCCGAGAAAAGGCTAGATATAATGGGCCAAGCGGTGTTTAAAAGAATACAGTTTCCGTGTAATTATTTCAGGGCATAAACTAAGCTAGCCATGTGGCGGCCGGGTGCCAGGGACGCAGCCCCGCCGCTCCTATTTCAACAGTATTCGTTCTCCAAGCTTGAGTACCCCATTGTTTGTTGCATATGCTTAAAATTGTAACGTCCCCTTGATAGATCATTTTCTTTCTTCCTTTCTCTTTCTTTCTTTCTTCCTATCTTTCTTTGTTTGTTTTTTTTTTGTTGTTTTTTGTTTTTTGAGACAGGGTTTCTCTGTAGCTTTGGAGCCTGTCCTTGAACTCACTCTGTAGACCAGGCTGGCTGGGATTAAAGCATGTGCCACCACTGCCCGGCAATGGATCATTTTCTTAATCAGAATGAAGTGATTTATCTCTTCTGGCTAGTTTCAGTTTGAAGTCTATTTTGTCAGATATTAAAAGAGTACTTGTCTGTTTCCTAGATCTATTTGCTTAGAATTCCTTTTTCAGCCTTTTACCCTAGAGTAGTGAGTAGTGTCTGTCTTTTTATGGTGAGGTGCATCTTGGGAGACCTTTTGTTAAGAGCTTTGTTTTGACACCTGCTCTTGATCTGTTAAGTGTTTTTATATCTCTTGACTCAGTTTTAATAGATTTTACTAAAGAACTGTACAAATTTCTTTCTGACTTTATAGAGAGACCGCCATGGTACCAGCACACAAATTTTGTCATGGCACAGCTTGGTCAATTTAGGGAACCCACGTAGGTGTTGTAGAAGCAAAGTTTGTGTGATTTTTAGATCTGCTGATCCTGTATGTGCCTAACTATGAGCTGGAGCTGTGCTCTACTGGGGATGGGACACTTGACACTTGACCAGGAGCTAAACAGAACAGAATGTGGCTGGCACTGGGCGTAGTTTCTCTTGGGACCTTAAGCTGTGTATCTTAGGGGAGGAAAGGCAATGGAGCTGTGCCAACATTGCTTGACACAGTACCAGTACACCTGTGTGTGGGAGAATCAGGGAAATCTTGGTTCTCTTTCCCCATCTGGTTTGTTAAAGATTGGAGCCCATATACAGACCTCTGGGAGAGGGATAGTGTGAACCATACAGGACCCTACTCTTTACCCTAGTCCCTGTGGTAAAGTACACAGGCCTGGCTATGCCTGTGGTTCTTGAGGGCAGTACCCATGGTTTGCCTCTGCATCATAACACCAGATCCCCACTGTGCACTCCCTGCTGGTTTGGGCAAAAGTTTTCTTGTGTACTCTGACTTGTGAGACAGCCATGTGCTGAGCCAGTATAGTAGAATGTCTATGAGGTCCCAGGTAGACTTATCTGACTCCCATGGGTTGTGTAGGCTTTCCCACTCCCAGAGCAGTCTATGGGGTCCCAGATTTGGGTTTGCAGCTTTTCTCCCAGAACAGTATAAACACAGGGCTAGCTTTGTTCTTGAGGAGACTCCAGGATACAGCCTTCTATGGGGGCTCTGGTAGGTGAAATTCTTTATCTCTGGAGGGAGGTGACTGGTCCTCTTATAAATGAAGTAGGTGGCCATATTCCTTATCTTGCTATGACCTTCCCTGTTCTGAGTTTGCAAGGTTTCAGTTTTTCCTATGGTTAAATCCCAGTGCTCAGTAGTCCTGTATCAAAGTACACGGCTGTGTCTGTGGCCCCCACCCCCCAGGGAGAAGTGGGTGAATGAATGCTGAATGCTTCTAAGAGTACATACTGCTTAATCTCTGTTCTCAAATATTTTTCTTTTTATTTTAAAAGATAAAAGAGTCTATGATATAGTGATGGAATGAACATTGTTTGAGAGAAAGTCTCAACATGTTGTCCTGACTGTTCTAGAACTATGTAGACCAGGCCTCCAACTAAACAGATCCGCCTGCCTCCTGAGTGCTGGGACTAAAGGCATGAGCGCACACACCCAGCAAATGTGTTTTGTTTTTATTTGTTTGTTTAGATAAATCACTGTTTTGTTTGGCTTGTTGGGTCACAAATGTTTAGAAACATTGTCAATTGTCACAACAAAGTGGAAATGTACTATAATGAACTGGATGATCTTGAGGTTGAAGGTTTTATTTTTTTAATTGTTTTTTGGTTGTTCTCTTTTGGGAGATTGTTTAAGACAGAATATCAGAAGGTCCTAGAACTCACTAGGCACCTAGGCTGGCCTCAGACTCACAGGAACCCTCTTAGTTCTGCCCCTAAGTGCTAGGATGCAATGGTGGATCAGGATCCCTGGCAGAGAGCTAAGAGTGGAACTTGACTTCAGCCTCTTGAGATTTAGAGTCCTGTGCTACACGGTACCAAACCCTGACAGCTTACCTTTCAAAGGGATAAAAGTGGGAGTCGCATTTTAGTGAAAGGTTAACTCCAAGGGGAGATTGTGTTTAGGGGAAGAAGGGGTTACTAATAGTTCCCATGCAAACGGAGTTAGGGCTTAGAAATGGTCATTGATTGTTGTCTATATTTTTATTAAATTCCCTTAATATTTATGCTTTTGGCTTTTTGGGTGGTGGTGGGTGGATGGGTGCATTTGTGTGTTTGTGGGTGGGGTGAAGAGTGTTTGTGTGTGTGGTGTGTGTGTGTGATGTTTCTAAGTTAAAGAAAAGCCTGGAAGAGAACCTGGTTTTGTTTTCAATGTATAAGAGTTGATGATACAATAACAAATTTTGTGATGATTGAGTCATTGTGAATAGGTTTTGTGTGTTATAAAGCAATTTTAAGTTGGTGCATGTTTTTAATCCTAGCATTTGGGAGGGAGAGGCAGGTGGATGAGGTCAGCCTGGTCTACAGAGTAAGTTCCAAGACACTAGGGCTACACAGAGAATCCATGTCTTGAAAACCCAACCAACCAAAGTTGATACTGCCAGAAGTGGTGGCCAAGGCCTTTAACCTCAGCATGCAGGAGGCAGAGGCAGGTGGAAATCTGAGTTTGAGGTCAGCCTGGTCTACATATAGTGAGTTCCAGGGCAGCTGGGATTGTAGAGAGACCATCTCAAAAACATAAATAAAATAAATAAATAAAAAACCAAACACTAGCCCCATGAGACACAGCAATAAGAAGGCACTGCACGCTGCAACTGTTAGGAAAAGGTAAAACTGGCCTGAGCACAGGGTGACTGTTCTTCACACATGTTTGTGAGAGTCAGTTCTCTCCTTCCGCCACGTGTTCTGGGGATTGCACTCCTATCTTCTGGTTTGCGGGCAAGTGCCTACTGAGGCGAATCACCAGCCATGTTTTTCTTTACAGTGTGTGGAGTGAATGCTTACCTCTGAGCATAGTGCATATGTCCTATTTTCATGTCCACTCCTGCCCCCGAGTAATCTAGATGTTTATAGTTTTCTTTTTTGTTGTGTCTCTTTTTCTTTTTTGAGATAGCCTTATAGTAGCCCCAACTGGTCTGTAACTCGATATTGTAAATCAAACCGGCCTCAAACTTACAGTGTTCTTCCCACCTCTGCCTCTCTGGGCTGAGGTGACAGGCGTGTGCCACCATGCCTAGCTAGAGATGCTTAGAATTTTTGTGTCCTTTGCGTGTAAGAAGTGGTTCCAGTCTGGAAAAGGCTTCCAATTAAAGTTAGTGGGTGAAAGCAGTGGAAATAGCTCCTCAGACACATGGCTGCCCTTGTTCCGCAGGGTGTTATGACCTGGGCAAGCCCAGCACAGTCTGCCAAGATTGAGAGAGTGGCTACCCTCCCTGAGATGCACATTGCAGTCACCGTGGATATGGAAGCAACCATCAAGATGTGGAACTGTCATGACAGGGATGCTCTGGTGACTAACACCATGTCCGCTTTTTGTGGGTCCCTGGAAGCTGTCCTTACAAAGGATGGCCCATTCGTCTTGGTAAATGACCCCCCAAATCTAGAGCAGGCATACAGAACAAAACACTGGCCAGTCTGAGGTCCCATCACCGTCAAAACTGTCCTCTCGGAGTCGTGTCTGCAAACCTGAGAGTCAGTCACAGCACACGGGTAAATGGCAGCCGACCTAACCTCATGGACCTTTCCTAAGCCATCTTGTCTTTCTTTGTTTTGGTTTGGTTTGGCTTTTCAAGACAAGGTCTCTTTGTGTAGCCTGGCTGTCCTAGAACTTGCTTTGTAGACCAGGCTGGCCTGGAACTCAGAGATCCTTCTGACTCTCTCTGTCTCTCAAGTGTTGGGATTAAAGATGTGTGCCACCCTCACTATGCTCTTAAGCCGTTCTTTTAAAAAAAAAATTAAAAATTTTTCTAGAGGCCTGGGGCGAGATGTCTTAGTGAGTAGGGGTGTTTGCTGTGCAAGCGTGAAGACCTGAGTTCAAATCCCTGGCAATCACATAAAAAGTAGATAATAAAAAGTACCTAACTGCCAGGTGGTGGTGGCGCACACCTTTAATCCCAACACTTGGGAGGCAGAGACAGGCAGATCTCTGTGAATTCGAGGCCAGCCTGGTCTACAAGAGCTAGTTCCAGGACAGGAACCAAAAGCTATGGAGAAATCCTGTCTCGAAAAATCAAAAAAAAAAAAAAAAGAAAAAGTGAAAAAGTACCTAACTGTGTTGGCGGCTCCAGTGCTGTTGGGGTTGGAAACAAAAGGGTGACTGGGACTTGCTGGCTGCTAGTCAGCCTTGCTCCAGGCTCAATAAGAGACTACCTCAAGGGAATCAGGCGGAGACCGAGGGAGCAGGATGCCTGACACGTACGCACAGGTGTGCACATCTACATACCCATGCACAAATATACATACAACACACAATTTTTCTAAGTGATTTTACATTTTTGTGGTGTGGGACAATGGTCTGTATTCTGTCAATTATATTTTAAATAAACACTGATTGGACAGTAGCCAGGCAGGAAGTATAGGCAGGACAACCAGACAGGAAGTAGAGGTGGGTCAATGAGAACAGAAGAATTCTGGGAAGAAGGAAGTCATTCCTCAGCATTCCTGGCCCAGTCACAGAGCAAGCAAGCTGTGACTGCCTCGCTGAAAAAGGTACTGAGCCATGTGGCTAACATAGACAAGAATAATGGGCTAATATGTTATAAGAGTTAATAAAAATCCTGAGATAATGGGCCAATCAGTTTATAACTAATGTAGACCTCAGTGTGATTTCTTTGGGACTTAACAATTGTGGGAACCAAGCTGGACAGAAAACCTCAGACAACATTTTTGCTTCTTTCAAATGTTTATTATTATTTCTAATGTTTTATTTATTTTATGTGTATTGGGTGTTTTGCTTGCATGTACATCTGCATGAAAGTGTCAGATCCCCTGGCACTGGAGTTACAGACAGTTGTGGACTGTCATGTGGGTGCTGGGAATTGAACCCAGGTCCTCTGCAAGAACAGCCAGTGCCTTTAACCACTCAGCCATCTCTCCAGCACTCAAATATTTACTAATGTGGACTCCATAATTTGGACAGAGATAGTGGAGAGAAAACTGTGAATTTTATCAGATAATAAGGAAAAAGGATAATGTTGACACCCCAGTGAGTCGTTGGGAAGAGTGGTTTAGGACTTAGAAAATCTCTCTCCTCATATATGTGTCTGTGTTTGAGTCAAAGTCATATGATGTAGTCCTGGCCGGCCTGGAACTCACTGTGTAGATCATGCTATCTTCAAACTCAGAGATTAGCCTGCCTCTATCTCCTGACTGCTGGGGTTAAAGACATATGCTGCTATGCCCTGAAAAAGTTGTATTGTTTTGTTTTGGGGTGTGTGTTTGTTTGTTTTTGAGAAGGGTTTCTCTGTGTAGCCCAGGCTGGCTTGAAACTCACTATGTAGACCAGGTTGGCCTCTGCCAAGTATTGGGATTAAAGGTGTGAAACACCACCACCCAGCCCTGTAAACGTCTCTCTAAAAAAATGTGTAGCCAGGCAGTAGTAGCACACGCCTTTAATGCCAGCACTTGGGAAGCAAAGGCAGGTGGATCTGAGTTTGAGGCCAGCCTGGTCTACAGAGCTAGTTCCAGGACAGCTATGTCTGTTTCACAGAGAAACCCGGTTTTGAAAAACGAAAAAAAAATTCATCCTGGGCATGGTGGTGCACTATGCTGAGTGCCCTTGGAGGTCAGAAAAATAAGTCATTGGAGCCCCAGGGACTGGAGTTAACAGTTGTGAGCTGCTGTGTGGGTGCTGGAATTGAACCTAAATTCTCTAGAACAGGTGCTCTCAAAAACCGCTGATCCACCTCTCCAGTCCCACCTCTCCAGTCCCAGAAGTTCTCATTTTTTTTATTTCTTAAATTTTTTTTTGGCTGTAAAGATATTTTTTTTTAAAAAAAAAAAACAACTTATTATGCCTACAGTGTTCTGCCTGCATGTATGTCTGCCTGCCAGAGAGGGCACCAAATTTCATTACAGATGGTTGTGAGCCACTATGTGGGTGCTGGGAATTGAACTCAGGTCCTCTGGAAGAGCAGCCAGTTCTCTCAACCTCTGAGTCATCTTTCCAGTCCCCAGGTCTCATTTTTATTAAAAAAAAATCTGTTTTGTGTTTTGATTTGTTTAAGACAGTGCTTTTCTGTGTAGTTTTGGAGCCTGTCCTGGAACTTGCTCTGTAGACCAGGCTGGCTTTGAACTCAGATCCACCTGCCTCTGCTTCCCGAGTGCTGGGATTAAAGGCATGTGCCACCATGGCCCGAGTTAAAGGTCTATTTTTAATAATGCGACTGTGTGCAGGTCTGTGCATGTGAGTATAGGTGCCCACAAAGTCTAGGAGAGATTCAGATCCCTTGGAGCAGGCAGAGGTGAGCCACCCGAGGCAGACACAGAATGCACTGAGCTGTCTTTGTGGGATTGTCTGAGCCGCTCTGGGGGGCAGGCTGGTGCGTCTTGGAGTTGCCAATGCTGCTTCCTTCACGTTTCAGGTTTCCCTACTGATCGACTGCTGGTGCTTTGATTTCAGGCAGGTGATGTTTTCGGTAGCCTCTACATATTTAGGATTCCCGAATTACAGCTTATTTCTAGAGTCCCTGCTTTGAAATACACGATTGACACTCTCCGCTGCTCTCCTCAGAAGAAATGGGTCTTCTTGAATAAGAAACATCCACACATCTCTCCAAAGGTAGTACTGTTCTAGCAACTTCAAGTTCCGGGGCAGGAGAGTCAAGGACGGTCCAGCCCTCTGGGAGGACTAGACAGTCTGCTGCTCTCTTCTGGACCCTATCTGGGCAGAAGTGATGCTCTGGGAAGCAGTACTGCTCAGTCCCGTTGGCAAGTGTCTATTAGTGTCCTTGAAACCCGGCTCAGCCAAAGGCAGGTGGAATAAGGGTCCCTGGAAGCCTTTACTTTGCTGGCCTTGAACTCACAGCAACCTTCCTGGACTGTGCTATCCTCCCCCGGAATCCACCTCTAGCACAGAATTTCAGATTTCATACCTGTTGGGAGGCCCTGCTGGTCAGATGTTGAAGTCTGCCATGATCATGGCCTGGCAGTTCTCTCTGAACTAGGCACAATTTGGAGAACTTGCCCCGTGCTCCCCCTTTTCCTCTCCTCCTCTCCCCTGAATTCTTCCTGCTCTCTATCTCTAAGCATGGATGCCTGACTTAGCTCAGGTGTGACCCTTGACACAGTTCCCGGCAGGAGTTTGAAGCTTCCTGCCTGTTGCCCAAAAGGTGATCAGACCTTGTGTTGTACGGAGCTTTAGGATAGGACCCTGCTGCCACATAAGGAGCCTTAGGGTGGGAGGGTGCTGTTTAATACTAACTAGGTAATGCCCAGCCACTGTCCCCTTCCTGTGTATTTTCCTTACTCTGGAATAAAGCTGAACTCCAACACCAAAGCAGTCTCCCGGAAGGTATTTCAGTCTTGCTCACAGCCCAGACAAGGCCTTGCTTGCTGCTTCTGCCCCTGTGGTTGATGGACCATGGGGAAGAGGGGACCCACATGTACCCAGCACTCTTTATACTCCCTCCCTCTTAACTCCCTGCTCTCTGGTGCTCATTCATGGGTACTGGAAGGCAGCCGGTCTGCTCAGAGCCAAGCCCTTGCTCAGGGTCCATGCATATTTATTTGCTTTTGTACATGGTTGTACTTTCAGAGCCAGTCTGGGTTATGGTAAGACCGTCTCAATGCCGCCTCCTTAAAAACAACAACAACAAAAACCAAACCAACCAAACACAAAACAAAACAACAACAACAAAACTCTTTATTATGGGACCGGCAAAATGGCTTAGAGAGGTGGCTCTCAATCTGTGGGTCATGACCCCGTTGGCAAACCTTTCTCAAAGAATATTTACATCATGACTCCTAACAGCAAAATTAGTTATTAAGTAGCAATGAAAATAATTTTATGGTTGGGGTCACCACAACATGAAACATTGTATTAAAAGTCTCAGCATTAGGAAAGTTGAAAACCACTGGCCTAGACACAGGGACATTCAACTGCCAGGCCTGATAACTTAGTTCTCTCCTTCCACCATGTGGGAATTAAACTAAGTCCCTCAAGTTATCCCTGACTGTCACGTGTGCCTGTGGCATGAATACTTACACAAACAATCATGTTGAAAACAATTTTTAAATTTAAAAGAAACGCTATTTTTTTATCTCTCCCAGAAGTACTCATATGAAGCCATAAATGCATGACTTTGGTTGTTTATTTTTTTATTTACTTATTTTTTTTGAGACTGGGTTTCTCTATAACCCTGGTTGTCCTGGAACTTGCTCTGTAGATCAGGCTGACCTTCGAACTTAGTTATCCACTGGACTCTGGAATTAAAGGCGTGTATCCCCGTGATGATTGGACTCTGGGGTTTAAGGCGTGTATCCCCATGATGATTGGAGTCTGAGGTTAAAGGCGTGTATCCCTATTTTGATTGGACTCTCTGGGGTTAAAGGCATGTATTCCCGTGATGATGCAAGTCTTTATAAAGGGAGCAGAAGGTTCCTTAGCTAAATGTGAACCCAAGCCTCTTTGCTGTCTACACTCAGCTGGTCACTACACTCTACCCTGCTCTCTTGGGCAGCATATTTCCATTTATGTTGACAGAGGTTTCTGTTCTGCCTGGTCCCAAAGAAACACACAGAGGTCTATATTAATTATAAACTGGTTGGCCTGTTAGCTCAGGCGTCTTATTAACTCTGACATCCTACTTTAACCCATAGTTCTTGTCTGTGTCAGCCATGTAGCTTGGTACCTTTTATCAGGGAGGCATTCTCATCTTGCTTCCTTTGTGTCTGGTTTTCTCTGTGACAACTACAGACTGACTCTTTCCTCTTCCCAGAATTCTCCTGTTCTCATCAGCCACCTCTACTTTCTGCCTGGCTGCTGGTCAATGGCGTTTTATTAAAACAATACAATTGACAGGGTACAAGGCCATTGTCCCACAACACATTTATATCATGTATTAGGCGCTGGGTTCTAATGTCCTTTCTCGGTACAGGTGTCTTTCCAGTGTTCGGGCTATTATTGATTGTTCAAACTGTCATTGTCATAGTCCGCTTTTCCATGATCAAGGCCATGGATCTGTCAGTCCACTGGACTGTCTTTATGGTCTCTACCAGGTTAGAGTCCCATGGAAGTAGGGGTATGATTCAGAAGTTGCCCACCTACTTTGCGTTTTGCATGGAGCAGTTCATAAAGTTGCAGCCTTCCGGTTACCATATTACATGGAGAGCCTAGGATGGATGGGAGTCAGCGATAAGAATGCAATTGTGTTTTCAAGCAAGTCATCTCTATTCGTCTATAGCATGCAAGGCATCCAGCTGCAGAGATTTGAAGGCTGCCTGCAAAGGACCATGAAATTACTAGTGGTATGTCTGGGGTGCCTCCTTTCCAGTGGTGGGTTTTTGTTGTTGTTGTTTTGTTTTGTTTTTGTTTTTGTTTTTCACTTTTTTTGAGACAGGGTTTTTCTGTAGCTCTGGAGCCTGTCCTGGAACTAGCTCTTGTAGACCAGGCTGGCCTTGAACTCACAGAGATCTGCCTGTCCTTGCCTCCCAGAGTGCTGGGATTAAAGGCGTGCGTCACCACCACCTGTATGGAATTACATTTTTTAGCTTATGACTATTGGGACATGTGCATATGCATGCCCACGCAGAGGCCAGAGGACATCTTTCCGGAGTTAGTACTTTTCTCCTTCCACTCTTCCACTGACTCGAGGGATGGAACTCGGAGTACCAGGCTCACTAGCAAGTGCCTTTACCTGATGGGCCATCCCATGGGCCCTTTCCCTGTATTTTGATGTCACTTTGACTCCTGTCCACTCACATCTGGGTGTCCTTTGAAGGATCCTCTCCACGTCATCTCTTTATCTACTGATGGTTCTTTGGATGTGTACACGTGGGAGGAGAGAAGGCTATACCTCAGGAAGTGTTACCGCCTACAAAACGAGACACATGTGGGACCAACAAGGTAAGCTCTGCTTTGCAACGTTTAAGTATACCTTAATAATAATAAAAAACCCTTCTGAATAAAAATGCATTTTACTTTCTGTAAAAAGATATGACTAGCCGGGCAGTGGTGGCACACGCCTTTAATCCCAGCACTTGGGAGGCAGAGGCAGGCGGATCTCTGGGAGTTCGAGGCCAGCATGGTCTACAAGAGCTAGTTCCGGGACGGGCACCAAAGCTACAGGGAAACCCTGTTTCGAAAAACAAAACAAAAAAAAAAAGATATGACTAGGTGTATGATCCCAGCATCACATAAAAGCCGGTATTGTGTTGTGTGTGCAGAGGAGGGAAGAGGAGAAATGGGGAGAGACAGAAGCTGCCTCTTTGAGAGGGAGATGGGAAGAGACTCAGGCTGGAAGCTGAAGATCAGCTTGCCTTGGATGGGGGAGGGAGTGGGCGTGGCCTGTCTCTTAAAGGGACAGAGCAGTCCATTACTCACCTTCAATCCTAGCACTTGGGAGGCAGAGGCAGAGGCAGATGGGTCTCTTGTCAGTTCCAGGACAGCCAGGGCTGTTACGGAAAAACACCCTGCCTTGTGTGTGTGTGTGTGGGGGGGGGGGCGGGGATTGCTAGTTCTTGTGACTGTGGCACATACAGCCACCTGTCAGCAGTTTGACTCCCACAGTAGAACCCAGACTGTGCCCTTCCTAGTTTGTCTTTAATGGCAGGATGGGCCTCTGAGTTCTGTGCCCACTTAGGTTGCTTCATTCATGGAGTTTTTTTTTTTTTTTTTTTTTTTAAATCTCCTTTGGCTAACTTTTCCCAAGAGTTTTACTTGCCTTCATCCAAATTATTTTCACTGAGCAAGGTGTGCTGGCACATGCCCAGTTCCTAGCTCTGAGCACACCAAGGCAAGGATTGATTGCAAGTTTCAGGTCATCTTGGACAATCTAGTGAAACACCCCCTTACCCTACTCCCAATCTCCAAAAGAATGGAAAAGTTTACTTTGAATTGTTTTTTGTCTTTTTTGTTTTTTTGTTTTGTTTTGTTTTGTTTTGTTTTTGAGAGAGGGTCTCTCTGTATAGGCCTGGCTGTCCTGGTACTCACAAGGCTAGCCTTGAACTCAGAGATCCACCTTTCTCTGTCTCCTAAGTGCTGAGTTTAAAGTGTAGGCCACCATTGCCCATCCCGAGTCCATTTTCAACAAGGGTCAACAGCACTTGATAACTTACCAATATAATTTATATTACATGTATGACTCAATGATATTTTCTCCCTATGGATATGGGAGCATACACCTATAATTTCACAGTCAGGAAACTAAGGCAGAAGGATTACCTCAAGTTTGAAACCAGCCTAGGCCACATTCAAATTCAATGCTAACCTACACAGTGAAACCTTACTTAAAAAAAATTTTTCCACTCTGTAGGCTTTCTCTTTGTTTTGTTTGTTTTTGTGTTGTTTTTTCCCCACTTTGCTGTGGATAAGCTTTTTAGTTTGATTCAGTCTCGTTCTCCAGTTCCTGGTTTGGTCGCCTGTGTCTGGCTGGGGTCCTAGCCAAGAACTCTAGCCTAGCCCAGAGTCATAAAAAGTTTCCTATAGATTTGCTTTTAGTTGTTTACAAGTTTTGGGTCTGATCTTATCATGAATCTGTCCTGAGATAATTATTGAATTACTGATTAGTGGGTGGTACATGGATGTGGTGTTTAGCTAACTTCCTCTACACCGTTTATTGGAGACTATCATTTCCCTTAAACCGGTCAACCATGAATGTGTGGATTCTGTGACTGGGCTCTGATGGACCCGTTTCTATGGCAACGCCGTTCTGCTTTGCGCACAGTAGCTTCGCGGGATGCATTTTAAAATCGAGTATTGTGATAACTCTTAGTTTTGTTGTTTTGGTCAAGAAAGCCTTCGCTATTTAAAGTGTGTGTGTGTGTGTGTGTGTGTGTGTGTGTGTGTGTGTGTTGGTTGTTTTGAGACATCCTTTATATCCAGGCTGGCCTGGAAATTGCTATGTAGCCAAGGCTAGCCTAAAGTTTTATGTATCCAAAGATTGCCTTGAACTCCTGATCTTGCTGCCTCACACAATCTCGGTCTTTTAATTATCGTCAGTTTATTCTCTTTCAGAATTTGGAAAGGGCTTTGCTATTCCTTCTGCCTTCTGTTGATGTGCCGGGAGAGCAATTGTCATTGGAGTCTGTCACTCGTGGATCCAGGTGTCATGTCCCTCTGATTTCAAGTCTTTTGTTCAGTGTTGTGTGTCATCCCCCTCCTCCCCCATGACAGGGATTCTCTGTAGCTCTGGCTGTCCTGGAACTCACTCTGTAGACCAGGCTGACCTTGAACTCTGAGATCTGCCTGCCTCTGCTTTCAGAGTGCTGGGATTAAAGTTGGTGGTGTGCCAAATTTTGTTCAGTTTTTAGAAATTTGATTATGACGTATCTAGTGTGAATATGTGGAATTTAATGTGTTTGGGCTTGATCAGCTTTTGCCAGATTGGTAGATTTACCAATTTGGGGGAGGTATTTGTCTTTCTTATGCTGGGGGAGTGAATCCGGATCTTGCACATGTAAAGTGTGAATCCTGCTAATGAACTTTACCTTTAGGGCATTTTGCTGTGTTCTTAACATGCCTGGTATGGGGAGAGGGAATGGTTGCTTTTTTTTTTTTTTTCTCAACTTAGTGCAGAGGAAGAAAAGGATGACAGGGCTCCCTGAGTCTGCAGGGCCAGGAGCAGGGGAGGTGTGGACTTGGATTTGCACTCATGCGGGTCTGACATTTATGAGCTCCTGAGAGAGCGTGGTAGATATGCCCCTCCATGATTGACAGGACTGCGCCACACTGTCTCCACGTCACCTGATGGGAAGGGACACATTGATGCTTCTACTATATCCACTTTGAGTAGACCAAGTATAGCCAAGGGAGCAGAATTCAATTTTAAATGAATTTATAAATTAAAAATCTTTTTTTTGGTCTGTTTTTGAGTCAAAGTCTCACTGTGTAGCCTAGACTAACCTCAGACTGCCTCAAACTCATCTGTTTTCCTGCCTCAGCTCTAAGTTGATGTGATTTAAGGCATGCGACATCACACCGGGCTTCTCTCGTTGCTAAGTTCAGATAGCCCTGTCAGAACTGAGGACTGTGGCCGAGGCCTAGCACAGGAAGCTGGAATTGGCACTCGTGCTAGGAAGGCTACCTTTGCCAATGTGTGCAGCTAACAAAAGTAATCTGAGCTGGATCAGCAGGGAAGGCTGCTGCCACCAAGCTGGCAGCCTGAGTGGAGTCTCTGGATCTTGCTTAGATGGAGAGAGCTAATTCTCACAGGTTATTCTTTAATACACATACACATGCCGTGAATAAATAACTTAAGTTTTTTTTTTCTTCCTTTTTGAGACAGGGTTTCTGTGTTGCTTTGAAGTCTCTCCTGGAACTAGCTCTTGTAGACCACGATGGCCTCAAACTCACAGATCCGCCTGCCTCTGCCTCCTGAGTGCTGGGATTAAAGGCGTACGCCACCACTGCCTGGCAAATTCTTAAGTTTTAAACGTTTAGGACTGTGAATAAAGAGCCAGCATCAGTTGGTGCTGCCCCTCCCACCTGTGCACTGACGTCTTATTTGCTTTTTCCCCTTTGGCAGCATCATCTCCAAAGCACAGTGCAATAACGTGAGCATAGCTCGAGTGGTGGGAACGGGTTCCAGATGCCCCTTTCTGTCGGTATATATTTTGAAGTCTGCTCCTGAAAACTAATTGAATGGGCTGTGTGTCCTCTTCCTTATAATAAACCTCTATTTGCAAGACCAAACTTGTGATTTTTAGTGTTGCTAAGAAGTGATGAGGACAGATGTGGTGTACACCTTTAATCCCAGCACTCAGGAGGCAGAGGCAGGTGGATCTCTGAGTACGAGGGCAGCCTGGTCTGGCTACATAAGGCGACCTTATCTCGGAAACAAAACCCATGGCTAGATGTATATGCAATTTGTCAATCTGTCATCAAGAGTTGACCAGGTTGTGTGGGCAGATGTCCACCTTCCCGTGCCTATTGCTGTAGTAGCTGGGCTCAGATGAAGAGCGTTACTTTCCTGGATAAAAAAGCACCTTTTAAGCCAAGCAATGGTGGTGCACGCCTCTAATCCCAGCACTTGGGAGGCAGAGGCAGAAGCAGAGGCAGAGGCAGAGGCAGATCGATCTCTCAAGTTTGAGGCCAACATCATCTACAGAGTGAGTTCCAGGAGAGCAAGGAGTACACAGAAAAGCCCTGTCTTGAAAAACAAAATAGGCACTTTCAAATTATTTTTTGAGATTGTAATACAACTCTACCATCTCCCCCTTCTTTCTTCAAGCCTTCCTATATCCCCCCCCCACTCTCTTGAATTCTTAGCCTCCTTTTTTCACACCATTTTTTTTCACACCTGCTCATAGTAACATACCTCCTCCAGCAGGGCCATACCTCCTAATGCTTCCAAGATAGTTCCAGTTAGGGACCAAGTATTCAAACACTTGAACCAGGGGTGGGGAGGAGATTCTTATTCAAGTTGCAACACATGCACACCGCACGCATGCACACCGCACGCATCCACATACAAAAAGTTCATGACTAAGTCACTTGGGAGGTGAAAGCAAAAGGGTTCTCAGCAGTATGATGACCAAGGTTAGCGTGGGTTATATGACACCCTGTTGCAAAAGAAATAAGACCAAGGCAGTTAAGACCGTAGCTGCTCTTCCAGATGTCCTGGGTTCAATTTCTGGTAACCCACATGGCAGCTCACAACTGAAAATCCAGTTCCTGGGGATCCAATGTTCTCTTCTGGCCTCCAAGGGCCCTACATGCTTCTGGTGCACAGACACGCAGTCAGACAAAACAAGGCAGTCAGACAAAACAAGGCCGCTAGGTGTCTAGGGAAGGATGGCGCATGTCTGCAGTCCCAGTACCCAGGAGGCTGAGCCTGGTCACAGCAAGTTCAAGGCAGCCTGCACTGTGCAACACCCTAAAAGTAAATGAGGCTAGTAAGGATAAATGTTCTGAGTTGGAGAATGAAAATAATACAAAGTGGGGGCTGGAGAGATGGCTCAGTGATTAAGAGCATTGCCTGCTCTTCCAAAGATTGAGTTCAATTCCCAGCAATCACATGGTGGCTTACAACCATCTGTAATGAGGTCTGGTGCTCTCTTCTGGCCTTCAGGCATACATGCAGACAGAATATTGTATACATAATAAATAAGTAAATAAATAAATATTTTTTAAAAAATAAATAATACAAAGTGAAAAAAAGCAGGCAAAACAATATCTTCATATCTTCATAGAAGTCCAAGGAATTTCACAATGAAATTCAGGGCTTCTGCCAAATTAGAGTCCTCATCAGAACTCAGACTCCAGACTCCTAGAAAAGCAATGCTCCTGGAGATGAGCTGAGGGGACTCTTGCCACTGGAAGCGAGTGATGGTGGCGGCTGGCTCAGAACAAAACCAGAAATGACTCTCCAAAGTTCAAACAGAAAGGACACTCATTCTTGGCACTGGGCTTCCTGCTAGTTGAAGTCCCAGCATGATAGAGGCCCCACAAATTGACCTGAGGATTTTATGAAAACACCGTTTGAAGCTGTGTCAGACGGCTCAGTGAGCACTACAGGCAAGCCCGATGACTTGAATGTCCATTCCCTGGGCCCCACCTGGTGGGAAGATCTCTAACTCTGAAGCTGCTCTCTAGGCTCCACTTGCACGTTCCGGCCTGAGTGTGAGCATTTGCTGTCGTCACTACCCACACACAGACTGGCCTCAGAAGAGTTAGAGAAGCCGCAGGAATCAAACCGATTGGAATCTTAGCCTCTATGTAGCCACCCTGTGGTAGAGGATGCTTATGTCCACTTCTGATCCGCTGGTCCAGGCCAGTCCAGGTTCTTCCTCAGTCACAGAAGCCCGCCAGTCGGCACCTGCCAGTAGTCACTGATCAAATCCTCGCCTCCTGTGTGTGGTTGATATTCTCACACTGCACCCGTGTGTGTGCATCGGGCTGACTGAGGGGGAATTCTGGGACTGCTCAGCTTGGCTCTCCAGATGCCTGGGGTTTCAAGCTGTAGATTATATCCAATCTTTTAGCCTGTGCCTTTTTGTAGGTGAATTGAGCCCATTAATATTAAGTGATATTAATGACCAGTGGTTGTTTACTCCGGTTATTCTTATTGCTTTTGGTAGTAGAGATTGTGTGTCTCCCTTCTTTGAGATGTGCTCGTGAAGGGTCATTAGATGCCTGGGTTATTGTAGGCAGTGTTGGCAGTGTTGGATTCCTTGGGTTGCGATTTTCCTTCTATTACTTTCTGTAGGGCTGGATTTGTGGCTACGTATTGTTTAAATTTGTTCTTATCCTGGAATGTCTTGTTTTCTCCATTGATAATGAACGATAGCTTGGCTGGGTATAGTAGTTTGGGTTTGCATCCATGGTCTCTTAGCTTCTGCAGAACCTCTATCCAGGACCTTCTGGCTTTCATAGTTTCCATAGAGAAGTCAGGTGTAAGTCTGATCGGTTTACCTTTATAAGTTACTTGCCCTTTTTCCTTTGCAGCTCTTAATATTCTTTCTTTAACCTGTATATTTTGTGTTTTGATTATTATATGGCGAGGAGATGTTTTTCTTTGATCCAGTCTGTTTGGTGTTCTGTATGCTTCTTGAATATTTAAATGAATATCTTTCTTTAAGTTGGGAAAGTTTTCTTCCATAATTTTGTTGAAAATATTTTCTGGGCCTTTGAGCTGTGGCTCTTCTCCTTCTTCTATTCCTATTATTCTTAGGTTTGGTTTTTTTATTGTGTCCCATAGTTCCTGAATGTTTTGTGTTGAGAATTTGTTGGCTTTGCTGTTTTCTTTGATCTGTTCGTTTATTTTCTCTATGGTGTCCTCAGCATCTGAGATTCTTTCTTCTAGCTCTTGTATTCTATTGATTATGCTTGTTTCTGTAGACTCTGCTCGTTGGCCTAGATTTTCCATATCCAGCTGGTCCTCAGTTTGTATTTTCTTCCTTGCCTTCATTTCAGTTTTCAATTCTTGAACTGTTTCCATTACCTGTTTGATCGTTTTTTCTTGGTTTCCCAGGGTATCATGTACGTATTTACTCATTTCTTCAAACTTTTTGTTATACTTCTCATCCATTTCTATAAGGGCATTTTTTACATGTTGTTTAAGGGACTCTATTGTCTTCATAAAGTCGATTTTTTCCACTTCTTCTGTGTTAGGTTGTTCACATACTTCTGTTGTAAGATCATTGGGTTCTGGTGTTTTCATGTTGTTTTTCAGATTATTGGGTGAATTCCTGCCTTGGCGCCTGCCCATCTCCTCCTATTGATCCTATCCAATGGGTCCTTTAAAAACCGGATCAGGTTTCCCTGCTGGCCAAGTGCTCCGCTTACAAAATGCCCTCACTCTCTTTCGTGGTTCCTGCTGCAGGCCAAGAACCCTCTCACCCCTCCGAAGGATCTTCAGGACAGGACCAGGCTCCCCTTGTGCCAGTGACCTGGCCAACCAAAGGCCTACCTCTTTGATTCAATTGTAGTAGGGCGATCTGCTCTCCTTATTGCACGCCTGTCCCCGCCGGCTGCGCTGGTCCCCGAAGGCCTCTTCCTGTATGCGGTGTCGCTCCGCCGCGTCTGGCCGCCGCTCCGCCTCTCTCAAGCTGTAGATTATAGAGAATCAATCCATGCCATCCCTTTATTAAAGCTCTTTGACCAAATAACCATTTAGTGACATTTAAAATAGCATAGGGAGGGGCTGGAGGGATGGCTCAGCAGCTAAGAGCATTTGCTGACCTTACAGAGGTTTTAGTTCCTAGCCCTGCAGTTCACAGCCTTCTGGATCACCTGTAACTCCAGTTCTGGGCAATCCAACACTGTTGTAGGAACCCTCTTGTTCATTCCTGGTTGCCCAGACTCAAAATAACTGCACAGAAACTGTATTAATTAAATCACTGCTTGCCCTATTAGCTTGTGCATATTTCTAGCTCACTCTTATCTCCTAAACTAACCCAGTTTTATTATTTTATATTTTACCATGATGCTCGTGGCCTATTGGCAAGGTTCCAACTGGCAGCTCATGTCTTTCTCCTCTGGTGGCTACATGGCATTTCCTGCCTCTGCCGCCTTCCTCCCAGCATTCAGTTTGGTCTTCCCCACCTAGCTCCATTCTGTCCTATCACAGGTCAAGACAGCTTCTTTATTCATTAACCAGTAAAAGCAACACATATGCAGAAGGACCTCCCACACCACGACATCCTCTCCAAGCTCCTCTGGTACAAGGCAGGCACTTGGTACACATACATGCATTCAGAACACACATTTCAATTTCAAAAATGAAAAACCACATACCCATAAAATTAACTTTTAAAAAATGGTCCTCACTTTAAAAAGTATAAGTAAATGGTTTAAAGCTATAGATCTGAGTACCCTCGCCTGTGAGTGTGCACAGGGAGGCCAGAGAGCCGTGTGGCTGTTTCCCTCTCTTGCTCTACATCTTTAAAAACAATACATTTATGGGGGGGGGTAGTGTGCATGTTATAGTGCACATGTGAAAATCAAGATAGCTTGCAGAAGTAGGTTCTCTTCTACCTTTTGGGTTCCAGAGGTTTTTACTTCCTGGGCCATTTTGCTAGCCCCTCCAATTTTTTTTTTTTTGAGACCGGATATCTCATTGAACTTGGAGTTCACCCTTTCCTCTAGGCTGGCTGGCCAGCGA